TTGCCGGTGTTTCTGCAGCCTGGGAGAACACCTTACCCTGATTCCCAAAGTGATTGCCCGAAGACATGTTGTTTGTATGAAATGCTTCATTTTCACTCTTCTAGATAGTGCATCCATTCTTCAGTGTCCCCAGCTCACCACACCCTATTGTATTCCTTGGCCCAGTTTACATGTTTATATCATATGCCTGGTGGCATGTGAGTCTGTGACTTCTGTCTCCATCCCCCTAGTGGTTAAGAATAAGAATCTGAGGTCCAAGAGCTGAGTGACTCAGCTCTATTTGAGTGACTCAGCTCTATTTTCTATACTATTTGAGTTAGTAGAGAAAGACTCCAACCCAGGCTCTTGACTTGCAGTGCCTCACTGTTCACTTCACCCCAGGCACTTCCCTTGGCACCCCATCCACAGCAGTGACAGTTCTCTCCCTTGTTATAAACTATGCACCTACCCAGGCCTACAGGAGAAAAGAGCCATGTGCTTATTAAACTGTACATACCAGGTCAAATGGGCTCTGATATTTTTGATGTGTACGTTATTTGATTTTAATCAGCATGCAGAAGTTATTTTGTAATGTTTTCACTTTATTTCCTGTGCCTCTTTCCATGTGGACAAGTCCCCCTGCTGGGCATTCTAACAGACAACACTTCACAGTGTATTCAGTGTGTATTCATGCTGCAGCTAAACCATTGCCTGCATACCCTTGTGTGCCCATCTTCCTATTTCTGGGACCTTAGGTTATTTCCATTTTTTTCCCAGCCCTATAAACAGCACAGCTAGAAGTGTTTATTATCTAATACACATTCCTTTTCATGTATTTCTTTGGCTGAGATCTTCGGAGATTAAAGGTTAAACTGATTTATTTTTTCACAGATTAAAGGTTAAAGAAGCTGATTTTTGGCCGGGCGTAATGGTTCATGCCTGTAATCCCAGCACTTTGGAAGGCGGAGGCAGGCGGATCACCTGAGGTCAGGAGTTTGAGACCTGCCTGGCGAACATGGTGAAACCCCATTTCTACTAAAAATACAAAAAATTAACCGAGCGTGGTGGCGAGCACCTGTAATCCCAGCTACTCGGGAGGCTGAGGTAGGAGAATAGCTTGAACCTGGGAGGCGGAGGTTGCAGTGAGCTGAGATTGCACCATTGCACTCCAGCTTGGGCAACAAGAGCGAAACTCCGTCTCATAAAAAAAAAAAAAAAGAAAAAGAAAGAAAAATGAGTTCAAGACCCGCCTGGCCAACATGGCGAAACCCCTGCCTCTCGACTAAAAATACACAAAACTTCAGCTGCGGGGCATGTGGTGACGGGCACCTGCGTAATCGCCCAGCTACCCTCGGGAGGCCGAGCGGCGGGAACTCGGATGCAACGAAAGGGCAGAGTTGCAGTGAGCGGACGATTGGCCCACTCGCCCTCACACAGGCGCTGCGGCAACAGACGTCGAGGGCGCCTTCTCAAAAAAAAACAAAACACAACTAACAGGGCGGGCCGGGCGTGCTCACACCGCTGGTAGTGCGCCCAGCACTTTGGGATGCTGAGGGCGGCCGATCACGAGGTTGAGCCGAGGCTTTTTCGGAGACCAGCCTCGACCAACATGAAACCCGACGTCGCTAAAAAACAAAAATGCCAGGCCGTGTGCGGCGTGCTGTAACCCAGCTACTTAGGAGCTGAGACGGAAGAATTGCCTTGAACCCGAAGGACGGGAAGTGTACTGCAACCGAAATCGGCCACTGCCATCTCCCCAGCCTGGGCGACAGAACGCGAGACTCCATCTCAAAAAAAAAAAAAAAAAAAAAAAAAAATCTTCTATTTTATTTTTTTCACAGAGATTATCC